ATAGGACTAGCTAGGTACTTGCGCGGGATTTCACCCGCTCTGCTCGTCACTTATTGATTGTACCATAACGTTTTATAGTCTATAGCCTTCCTCGATAAATGGGCTATCCAACACAAAAATATTTCATCGGATCAGTAGTTTGATCTGAGATTAGCGCGTTCAAACAAACGAAAAATCTCCACAGCTTTATATAAAAGTACCATAACACCACATTGCACCCGAAACCCCTTGCCCGGCAGTCACACTAGCGACCACTCGGCCAACGAGGAAGTCATATATATTAATATATGATGATAACTCACTAGGCTCACCCCCTATTACATGGAAATCATAACATGTGCCTCTATAGTGAAAAGTGGGTGTTACATTGTACAGTGTCAGTGCCGTAATGTACGCCTAAGCCTACCCCAGCGGGGATAAAAGGCGTGATGTTATGTTATGATGATAACAACGTTTTATATTCTCTGAAGGGGTAGACAGAGTAACATCTTACGAATATTATATATGAAGAATTTTGTGAATTTGAGTGCACATCAATTACTCAATCACGTCAAAACGGCTGAAGAGATCGGGATAAAATTTGGAAAAGCAGTAGATTATGATCTGCATAATATACATAACATACCCCCAAAGGGGTAGGCAGAGGTGCACATTATACCACTGTACAAAGTACCATGTAAAACCCACTTTTCACTATTTATGTTATGAGTCCTATGTAATAGGGGGTGAGCCTATTGCCCTATACCGGGCACATTTCCAGACCCCGTGCTACTACTGAGTATTTTTAAAAAACCCAGTAATAGTTTGCCCGGCAGTGGCACTTGCGACCACTCGGCCAACGAGGCAGTCAGGCAGGTAGATAATACACTTATAATCCCACAGGAACGCGGACAGAGTCGCTGACAAAATCTAGTAACAATATAAAAAATTCCTTATCATCATGATCATCTCGAGAGAGTCTACTACTGGACTATCAGTATCCCCTACAAAAAAGATGTTTGACATAATCTCAGTGTCTTAAACTATGTTTACAATAGAAATTAAACTATAGGTACGTAATTGTACTAGGTAAATGGCCCTATTATACCATTTAGGATCAAATAAGCCATAAAAACAGCGATTAAAGCCTAACTGGAGGTACATAAAATCTGATCGTCCACGAAACTAATTGTCCTTTTACAAGCTTACTTTTGTTTTAATTTACAGTCTTAACTGCCTCGTAACAATGTCTTCGGTTCGATTTTCAGGCCAATCAGTTTGATAGGCTTTCGTCTTATTAGCGGTATTTTAGAATTTTTATTAAGTAGATGGTGTTTTTTTTAAGGGGGAAAATCATCGAATGACTGCTGTCGGCTGGGTGAGGCGGGAGGGAGTGTCAGACTCTTACTGACTAAAAACCACCCCGTTCCTTCTCCTGCACGTCGAGCCGGAGCCCCGGTAACCCGTTAGGTTCGTGTTATCACAAAATTTATATTCTTAAGTTATTTAGCTAAGCAATTTGAGGTTGTTCCTAAATAATATAATATGTTTTTCTTTTACCAAAAATTTTCAAATTTCGAATAATGTTATTGGACTCTAAAATCGATCCCTCTTACTTTTCAAAGTCAAAATTAAAACATTTGTTACTTTTAAAACGTCAAATTAAACTGTCAGTGAAGCTAGACGCGCAGGAGAGCCCCACATTTGGAGAAAATCCAAATATGAGGCAACGTCTTTATAAAAAAAAAATACTTCGACTGTTCAATACAATAAAATATTAAAAAATAATCACACTTTCATTGATTGATTTTATGACCAACTTAATTTTAATATTTTTCCAGCAAATTTTTAAGAAATAAGTACCTACGCTTAAAAACGTGACGTCACAATAGAAATTTGTTGTTTTTTTTACAGTTCGAAAAAATGTGTTGAATTTGACTAGTTGTCGAATACCGTATTGTACACTCCTCCAATTCCAATCCATAGTCAAGCAGGCATACAATTTTAATAGCCCTTAAAACTTATTCCAAAAGAAATATAAAAATACAAGTAAATATGTTGAATGTTCACATATTATATGGAAATAATAAAATCTTTTTCCTTCCAATAAAAGTCCTTTAATTAAACTTTGTGAAGTAGGTAACATCGAAAACTCGAGACGTAATAATCCGAAACTTTTATGTTAAAAAGTTGGGATTTATTAATGGTACCTACCTACCTACAAGGAAAAAAACGCTTATCTTTTAATACACTAATACGAGAAAATGTCTTAATATTAAATCTTGAGTAATATTTTTCTGGATTTCCATATTTCATATAGGTATATGTATTTTCATATTATTATAAAATCTAATTTTGTACTGTATTTTATGGATTATATTACATCGCTGCTCTGCCTCATTGTCCGAGTGGTTGCAAGTTCGACTGTCGGGCAAGGGTCTCGGGTTCGATTTCCGGGTCGGGCAAAGTATTACTGGGTTTATTAAAAAAATTCTTAGTGGCACCATGGGACTCCTGACATAAATTGTGAAAAGTGGGTGTTACATTGTATAGTGGCATTATGTGCCGTAATGTGCATCTCTGCCTTCCCCTTCAGGGATAAAAGGCGTTGCTGTATCATGTCTAAGTAACTTATAAATGATTAACTAATTAATTATTTGGTATACAAGAAAAATTTTACCCTAATAAAAGACTACGAGCAACAATTTGTGAAGCCTCTAAGAATTGTTGTGTCGAAGCTGTGATACGTTCCACGACAACCAGGTGACCAACCACTGCTCCAATTGTGCAGTCAAAATCATTAGTTCTTTATTCTTGTTTATGTAGAATCAGCACAAACTGATTCTCACTAAAGCCGTATAGCAGAAAGCGTGCATTGTGCACGACAGACGTTGTCAATGGCAACGCCGACCGCGAACAGCGTCGGCACGGCGGCTCCGGGCACCGTGTTCAGCAAATTCAAGAAGAAAAACTGCAGTGAGTGCTTCTCACTCGCTTGTGTAATTCACACGTTAAATTATACATTTATTACGTCATACCTTTTATCCCCGAAGAGGTAAGATGCACTTTACAGCACTTAATGCCACTGTACAATGTAACACCCACTTTTCACTATTTATGTTCTGAGTCCCATGTAATAGGGGGTGAGCCTATTGCCATATATCGGGCACAATTCCAGACTACGTACTACTGGGATTTTTTTTAAACTCAGTAATACTTTGCTCGACCCAGGAATTGAACCCGAGATTCCTTGCCCGGCGTCGCACTTGCGACCGCAGTCAAATTATTTCTTCACAATATATAAGAACTATTAATTTAATCCATTACAAATCATTCTAACTCTCAGTCTTCAGATTCAACCTAGCAATGTCAGCTAACATAATTAATTAAGATTGAAAGGTAAAACCGCTAATATAATACAGAAGCCAGACCGTCATCAATCATTGTTACACTGTACTTCGGGATTCGGGATTGCGATCTTCATCCGTTAACTTCGATGTAGTTAGTTATACAACCTTCGTGAAGTCAGTTAATTATACAATTCTGCATTATTGTTAAAAGGCGGTCTAATAAGTATGCTCATTTATGTTCAAAAATCGAACGCCTGTCGATTCGCAAGCACGCCCGAAATGACCATGCTAATTTTGAGCAACATTCTGACACACATGCTACTTAGTGACAAGCTGAATGCAATGCTGAATTGTTGCTAATGCTATTGTTCTTGAAATTAGTATGTTTACACCTTTACTGTCGATGTTACTAGACAGTTGGGAGATATACAGCGAAGCTATAACAACGAAAGTCGAGGTGGCCCGGAGGTTTAAGACGCCCGTTTCCCATGCATAAGAATGGGTGTTCCTATCAACGGCAAGTACCAATGTGACTTTTTCCGAGTTATATGTACTTTCTAAGATTATTTAGATACGACTGACATACGGTGAAAGAAAACATCGTGAGGAAACCTGGGCTTATAATTTCTAATTTGATTTGATTGCATTCTAATTTGATTTGATTGCATTGAGCAAGCGCGGTGATTAATGCTCAAAACCTTCTCTCTGTAAGAAGAACCCCTTGGTCAGCAGTGGCTACTTAATAACTGTTAGCTTTGTTATTTGTTCGTTCGTTATTCGAACTTATCGTGTTAATCACGACCACTTAGTAAAGAGTGATACGACTGAGAAGAAGAACATTTTGAGCTTAATTGATTCAGTTCCAGTAACCTCACTCACAAGAAGACACACCGCAAGCGATATTTCACTCCGGTTTTTTGTGGATCACATTAATGCGGTCGATACATACCGAAGCATGGTACTCCCCCGTGATAATATGAAATACAGAGTTCTAATCTCGAAGATGCAGACTCATCAAATGTTCCAATAAAGCTACCCCTTTTCGTCCTTGTCACAGTCTGTGGCTGAATTTAAATGAACTGTTGATGTAGGTTAGACCTTTTTGTTTAAGACCTAAGTATATTGGCAGGACCTGACAGATAACTCGATAAATGTTGGTGACAATGAGACCCTTTCTGGTTGGGTTTGCCCAAAAAATAGTAGGCAACCAAAGATAACGTCAGATAGATTTATTTTATCAGTAAAATATGGTTGTTTTTTAGTTGTGAGCGCTATTTGCGAAGGTATGATATAGAAGAATAAAATTCAAATATTTTAGTTTGTTAAAAAAAATGTCTTCAAATATATCAGGCATCACAGATTTCGGTAAGATAAAACCGAAGTTTTATAAATCATAAAAGTAATTTTCTAAAATAGAGTACACACAATATTTATCGTACAGTATTTGCTGTTTACGTTTTTAATAATTATTTTTATCCCCCAAAGTAAGTTTTTGTACAAAACGATCTCAAACGCGGTGCAGAAACCTAATCCACTGCTACTTTTAGATGTCATAAACCTCAAGACGTTTTTACGTTGTGTAGAGGTAGTTACACAATTTCGCCTTATACAACTATACCCAAATATACTATCCATCTATTATTCAAAATAATTGTTCTTCTGAAAACTTACCTTTATCATCAGCCCGGAATTCTGCCTCCAGCTCGGCCTTAGTAGGCTGGGGTTCGGGCTGTGGCTGCTGCTTGCTGGTCTTCATGCTCATGGATTTCCTCGTCCGATGTCCACGGAAAGCCGCCTGGATCTTTGTCGCTGCCTGCTCCTCTGACTTTTCGTCAGACTTAGCTTCTGTCTCCTTGGCTTTCTCTTCTGTGAAAGAAAAGAATATTTTAGCAAAATGCGGCTGATTTTTCTTTTATTTTATAGGATCTTTTGAAAAAATGCGGCTTTTGTCAAAAAAAAGTAATTAATGTAGGCTGTATGTCACTTAACATGTCATCATGGCATTCAAATCACATTAAAAAAGCGATAAATGCAAGTTTAAGAATTCTCCTTTAGTACTTAGGATATTCCTCCGTTCCGGATACCCGTATTAGCTAGATATCTAAAAAATCTAGCTATGGGTCTAACCCAGGATGTGGCGATTTTACCTTTGGCGATTGTGTGAAATAATCAATTTTCGTTATAATAACCGATTCAAGAATAATGAGCATGTAAAGTCAACACATGATACGAAAAGATCTCAATCTGAATAGCATAAAACCAATATTCTAGAATGCTTACAAATTCACCTATACTTTCCAAATAACTTTTCGAAAATTGAATTTCAAACAAATTGCCACGCAATTCAGAACTGTTTGCCGAATGAAATAAAGCGTGTGAAATAGTGGCAATAATTCTTTGACCTGTCAAGAAAGTTCTCAATGGCTCTATCTGCAATCTGTAGTTCGATGCCAAAGAAAAACTTTCATATTAAATCGATTGAAACCTTTTTGTTACTTTTCTAGTTATTTTTGGATGGCCAATAGGCCAAGTTTTAAATTTGGGTCAAGCAAGAATGGCATACAAACATTTCTGAACTGATTAAACGGTTCAATGTGTTTGGATTTAAAAGTAGGGCAATATTATCGATCTTATGAAATAAACTGACAAAGAGTGTAAACAAATTTTTGGGGGATATTTATGATTGAGCGAAATGGAATAGGTACATTTTTTTAGAAAAATGTGGAACATGAACAGATGGATCTCTAAAGGTGAGCAATCGGCGCAGTCTCAAAATAAAGAGGTTATATCTAGTCTTCTTCACCAGTTTCGATATAAGTTCTATCTAGGAATAAGATGAGCTCATTGCTATGCGAGGCACAACTTCGAGCTTCACAGAAATCCACTACTACTAAGAAATTCAACAAATGAAAAAACCTAATACAATTTCTTGTGAGGCCAATCCCAACTCCCGGATTTAGGATAGGATACTTAGCATAATATAATCACTGAGAGAGAAATTTAGGTTTACTTGACTAAATATGAAAATAACGCGAAGTTTTGGGATTTGACTTCCAAATAGAACTAATTTACTCGTCTATTATTATTTTTATATAGCATAAGCTGGTAAACGAGCAGACGGATCATCTGATGGTAAGCAATCGGCGCTGCCCATGGAAACTCGAAACACTAAGGCGTTACAAGTGCGTTACCGGCCTTTTGAGAATTGGGAATTTGAGGATTGTGGAGGATTCAGGGATTCGGGAGACGGGGACTAGGGAGGGGGATAATTGGGCCTCCGGTAACCTCACTTAGACGACGAAACACAACGAAAGCGATGTTTCACGTCGGTTTTCTGTGAGGCCATGGTATCACTCCGGTTGAGCCAGCCCATTCGTGCCGAAGCATGACTCTCCCACACTTATTTTTTTACATTATTGACCCATTATCGCCATCAACTTGATGACGGTCACCATTGAACCAAGACCTCCTTCTTAACTCTTAAAGAACCACGTCAGTCATCGGTCCCTGACGCTATTGGAGGTTTGACTTTCACAATTTTAAACTTGGCAGTAATGCCAAGATGTCCACGACAATCCTCATACGTGGTTGATGACCTGGGTCATAAATAGTACCTATAGAGGTTGTTGTGGTACGTAATCACTATGACTTGTTAAAAAGAGTTAATAAATTTTCTCTGAAATTTCGATAATCATAGATAGGGCACCGATGGCTGATGCGATAAAAGGTAGTAAGCAGGAACGCCGCATACGGATCAGCGCAACGCAGAAAATCCTGGAGGGACGACCTGATAAAGGCCATTGCATGGAGCTGGATAGGTTACTTCCAATCAAATTGGTAAATAGGAAAGTCTTCAGAGTGGAGGCCTATGTCCAGCAGTGAAAGTCTTGTGATTATATGATATTGATGACGATGATGATGATGACAAACAGTATGTCAACTCCAAACCTGAATAGTTGTATGTGTTATGTTGGTGGATTAATTAATTAAAGTCGGATTTATTTTACTTGGATTTATTGCAATAATGTACAGGGCGCACGACGTGCACACACACTAGACTATGACAGGTAGACAGCGGCGTTAATGAATCGTGTTCTACCTTATATAACACATTATAGTGAGGGGGCCACTACTTACTAATTAGTGATGTATATACATATAACAGTTAGTACATACTCAAGAAAACTTTGTCTAGTCCAAGTAATAAGAAAATGGAACTCGCAAACTATCTACAGACCATTAAAGTTTCAAACGTTCTTGAAAGACTTGCTCTAACCAAGAAATATAATGAAAATTAGCTGTTACTCCCAACAACTGGAAAGATGAGAAAATTGTATCTCCATTGCGAAGAATAAAACTCTATTATATTTTTTTTCTTACAAAGTTTAATTTTGTTATTAAAAACCAAATTACCGGTGCATGGCAATAAGCTCACCCCCTACTACATGGGACTCATAACATTAATAGTGAAAAGTGGGTTTTACATTGTACAGTGGCATTAAGTACCGTAATGTGCACCTCTGCCTACCCCTTCGGGAGTAAAAGACGTTGTGTTATGTTATGTTAAAAACAAACTAAAAACAGGGTTGTAATTGTTGTCCTTGTCATCAGCAGAAATAGACATAAAATATAAAAAAACCTAGACTCGATATATTTACTAGAAGGCAGTCCAAGAAACCGTCAGTACCCCTCCAGTTTCATCAGATCTAGTCAATTAGGAGCACGGTATTCAAATTCTTAGATTTTATTACATATTTAGTTACAACATCATCATTATCATCATCATCAACGCCTATAAGTGCCCACAGCTGAACAAAGCCTCTTCTCACACGGAGAAGGTTTGAGCATCAATCACCACACCTGATCAATGCGGGTTGGCAATTTCAAACTTGTAATTAGAAATTATAATAAAACTCTGGTTACCTCACGATGTTTTCTTTCACCAGTTCATGTTTAAATAATCTTAGATAGTTGGAAAAAGTCACATTGGTACTTGTCGTTAGTCTTGGTCGATTTCGAATCTGCACTCTCGTGCATGAGAAACGGGCCACTAAGGGCCCGGAGTTTTAAGACATCCGTTTCTCTCTCACAGACATCACATCATTGTAAGTGTGGGAGAACCATGTTTAGGCACGAATGGGCCGGTTCGACCGGAGTGATACCACGGCCTTACAGAAAACCGACGTGAAGCAACGCTTGCGTTGTGTTTCGTCGTGTGAGTGAGGCTACCGTGTCCATGGGCGACACCGATTGCTTACCATCACGTGATCCGTCTGCCCGTTTACGAGTTTATACCATAAAAAACATCATATTTAGTTACAAGTCAACCTCCAGTTACAAGTCAAGATGGTATGGGTACTGGTACCATCCTCAATTGTACCATGTTGGTATAATTGAGGATGGTATGGGACAGGCACTGACAAATTAACCCAGGTCCAATTTTAGACACAAAAAGGTCTAGACTAGGTCGAAATTCAAGACTTTTGTACGGTAACGAGATAGAGATTTATCAAAGGCTAATTCTGACATGGAAAAATTATTCAAAAAGTGTTATGAGTGGTAATAAAATATAAAAGAGATATTTATGAAAAATGTTCGATGTGATGGTGACTATAAATTAGACTTTTTTTATTTTTTTTTTGTACATGTGTTTTATTTTTTCCCTTTGTTACCTTTATTTTTGAAGTGTTGAAGGTGATTATCAAAGTTGTGTATTTTGAATGTGTCTAGAATCTAATATTAATCTAGTGATACTAATCTGTCTAATCTGGAGTACTTTAGGTGTGGGAGAGCCATGCTTCGGTTCGACCAGTGCGAAATCATGGCCTCACAGAAAACTGATGTGCAATAACGCTTGCGTTGTTATTTGTCATGTGAGTGAGGTTTCCGGAAGCCCATCAATTACCCGACTCCCTTCCCCAATCTCTCCAATCAATGAATCCCCAACAATCCTCCAATTCCTAATCTCTAAAAGGCCGGGAACGGTATTAAACGCCTTTTGTTTTTCTATATTATTTTGACTTCCCATTTCGGGATTCCCATACTAAACTTGTAAAATGATTCCCATACTAAATAGTAAGTGTATTAAATAGAAAAGTAAATACCTTATTACAATGCACTTTAACAACTGCAATTTTACTGCAATTTGCACTAGAAATCATAAAAAAATTAAGCCAACAACAATTTCAACAACACGTCTCAAAACCCATCAACGGGTTGTCAGCTTTTAGCCGTTACAAGGTCTACTTTCAATAAATATAAAAACCGAGTCACTTTTATAGCAAGAACACTAAAACGTAACCTTTATATTGTTGTTACAATGTTAGTTCGTATTCGTACACGACTACACGTCAAACTATACTATACCAGTATAAACTGAGCGTCGAATGTGCGGAAACATCATACAAAGACAGACCATGATAAATTGGATTTGTTTAGCTGAATGTCCAGTATAAAATGACCGTTGAATGTAAAGAAAGATCGAACAAAGCGAGACCAAGATTAACTGGTTTAGTATAGGTCGACGTGTGCTGTCTGTAGCACATCATGCGACATTTTAGTCGCCCATAAAAGATAGTGGGGTAGAAAGTAATTTGATTATCTTTATTAACTTTTCTTTTATTCATGACATCGAATTTCAGGACAAATAGAATCAAGGTCAGACTTGTACATTTCCTTTATCTTTACTATAATTTTTACGCCTAGGGTTTCTTAGATATCGTTCGAACAGAGATTTGAGATTGTGTCTCTAATTGACAGTATTTTAAACGTTGGCCTACACTACGATTTTTATGTGTCGTGGGTGCGTTTACAAACATACAGTTTAGGCATAGACGCCCGCGGCCCGACCGACCCGACCCGGTGCG